GGTACTGATACATGTCAGTTTTACTGTAGTTTATCCCACTTCTATAGAACAAGAGATAAATTACAGTATACTCTAGATGTCAGTGGTACTGATACATGTCAGTTTTACTGTAGTTTATCCCACTTCTATAGAACAAGAGATAAATTACAGTATACTCTAGATGTCAGTGGTACTGATACATGTCAGTTTTACTGTAGTTTATCCCACTTCTATAGAACAAGAGATAAATTACAGTATACACCAGATGTCGGTAGTACTGACACGTCAGTTTTACTGTAGTTTATCCCACTTTATAAAAAAAAAAGAGATAAATTACAGTATACACTAGATGTCAGGTGGTACTGACACGTCAGTTTTACTGTAGTTTATCCCACTTCTATAGAACAAGAGTTAAATTACAGTATACACTAGATGTCGCTCTTGTACCAGTAGATGAGGTAATATACTCTCTTGCAACAGGCTCAATTGATTTAACTTAAAACTTGACCCCAAATTGATCTTTATAGTTTCCATACTATAACTTCTAATATGTTTTGTGTATCTTCACAAACTTTTGCAAACTTTCATTAATCATTAAGAGTGTTTTGTAGAAAATAGAACAGAATTTTTAATGAATTATTTTCATTAAAAAATTTTTCCTAGAATATATGGAGTCAAAATGTTGATTACTCTAAGTGCAAAGTGATTTTCTTGTTAAGAATCAAAATACTTTTCTTCAACTGAAAAAATCTCATTTCATTTGTGTAGTCTCTAAAACCTCCTAAATAAATTGCAAACTTTTTTTCAGTAAAACTGTATTTTATCTGTTATTTTCTCTACCCTAACTATACAAAGTTGATCAATTTGACTGATCTTGTAACCATTATAGAAAAATATGAAATCTAAATTATCCTTTTTTCTTTCTAGAGTGACTTCAAATCACAGCATGAAATTACATTTGTTTATCCTAAACAGCTTTAAATTCATAACAGTATACATCTATTTCTACCAACCCTTTGAACCATGTCTAATTAATATTCCCACCTCTCAAGTTATAAATCACTTTGCAAATGTGTAGTTCACACTACCTTATCGAGTTTACGTGACAAACAGACTACTTGAGTGTTGCCCAAGAGCTGACCTCCTAAAATATTTTTATTATTATTATTTTTTATTTTACTTAATCTAACCTAAAAAGTTTCTCATTTTTACATACATTTTAGTTACTTGTCGATGTGTTCCTGTGAGAATAAAGTTTGAACTGAAAGCAAAATAGACGACTCGGTGTACAGAAAGCAATGTAATATAATATGTCATTTGATAGATTAAAATTTTGGCTTTCTATTGGTCATAAATGATATAATAATCCTTTCACAGTGGATACCCGTTTAAATTCCTTTCTGTGCAAGTCGCTGAGTTACATTCAAAACTTAATTTTGTTATGCAAGTTTTAATTCCTTTATTAAACCTTAAAAAATAATTAAACTTCAGTTTTGTTCTGACATGATGCACGGGTGTTCACACATCTGAATTTTCTAACTTGAATCAGACGTCTACACAGTTCATGATATAATTCAGCACCTCTATATCTCGGCTTTTGTACCAATTGATGAGATAATCGTGTAAAGAGTAATGTGATTTATCTCATCAAAACTTGAAAATATGTTCCCATTTAAAAAGTAATTTGAATTTGTCAGGATGCATTTCATATAGTTGTAAAAGTACATTTGATGTAAGAAGAAAATTACTGTTGTGATGATTTTCATGGCAAAACCTTCAATTTGTGTATTTGCAGTAAATAAATCCTTCAAGGATTATGTAGCTGTGGAAACACTTGATGGAGAAAATAAGTATGATGCAGGAGAATATGGGCTGCAGGAGGCAGAGAAGGGGATTATTTTTGCTTCTTTTCCTCCTGTTCTTCACCTCCACCTTTTGAGGTTTCAGTATGATCCTTTAACGGATACAAACATTAAAATCAATGATAGGTAAGTTTTGAAAGAACAAACTATTTACATAAGGTTTGTTCAGTTGTAACTATCTTAAGATACGTTTAATAAAGGTCTACATTTTTTATGTCTCTTTTTTTTAAATAGGTTGATGTACATAAAACTACAGGTAAATATTTGTAAAAAAGTAACACTGGAAATTATTTTAAGTAGGTAACTTTTAACTAGTATAATACTGATTTTCTATAATAATAGAGTGCATACATTGCTGTAAGTTGGTTAAATTCCAGAGCTCACAAAAATTTAGCTCAAATCCTCTTTATGCTGTAACTTTTGGGATTTTATACGATTTTCTACCTTAAAGTGATCAAAAATAATGTTTTAAACTTTAAAAAGTAATTATGTAAGAGTGTGTCTGACAAGAAATAAATAGTTCTGTTTAAAGGGGGAAAAAAAGATAATATTGAATCAAAACCCTAAATGCAGTTAGAGCATGTAATCCCTTCCTACGCCCATGTTTTCTTTTAACTAGAATGCTTTGACGTGTCAGACAACACATCTGTTGTATGATTTGTATTATTGCATTGCAGGAAAAAAAGTGCTGGATGAAATAGATTGAAATTTCAGATGAACATTCTAAAGATTTTGTAGCTTTTGTAAATAATATGTGATATTTGTATGAATTCACAGTTTTTAAAATTTAAAAGATTTCATTTTGCTGTTTATTCTTAATTACAAATGCTTATATTTGATGTAGATTTTAAATACTGCTCTATATGTGTTCCTACATTCTTGTAAAATTTACTATAAAGTTTTTATTTTAGAAACCATAGATTTCATTTTGATTTGTAAAATACTTCACGTGGTTTCACTACATTTATAATCATTGGTATACAATAAAAATAATTTTTTACCATATTAAAATCATAAGAAAGCAGGCTTTTTTCTAATTGTTAAACAGAAGGTTTATTTTGGTATATGTATTAAGTTTTATCTAACTGATTTTTTTTTTTCCATTACTTACTTTGATAAGGCTTAGTATAAACACAGCCTTATTGATGAAGAAAGACTATGGTTGAGTGCAAAATGATCTAACTAAACTTGTCTTGTTCCAAGAAAAACATTCATTTTTCCATCATACTGCAACATCATAATTCAGTTAATGTATGAACTGAAAATCAAGTTTTTGCATGCTTTAATAAAATCAGATCTGTAATTGTGGTGTAAATTATTCATAAATATATTTTTTCTAGCAGCACATCACCATGCTAAGGTTTTACCACTTTGTACATAAATGCAAGTCTTCACTGAGCTTCCATTACATATTTAGATCACTTGCCTTCTCAAAACTGAAATATAGATAATAAAATCACACCATGAAAATAAGTGTGTTGAACAATGACAGCAAGTTTATTTTTCACATTTGTTTGTTTTAAGATTCAGTAGTGTGGTTTTCTGTCCGAATAAAAAGCACCCATCTGGTTCCATTAGAACATACCCATTCGATAATCATTAAAACGACCATTTGTAAAAACTTTACGTATTGTTGGATCTGAAAACAGTCTTTATATAAAAATGTAAATTTATAGTTCCTAAAAATTGTGTGTGAAAAAAATGTAAAGAAATCATGTTTATTTTTCAGGTTTGAATTTCCAGAGAAGTTGAGTTTAGATGAGTTTTTACAAAAACCTGAGACAACTCCTGCTACGTATACTCTTCATGCTGTGTTAGTACATAGTGGAGACAACCATGGTGGGCACTATGTTGTTTTCATCAACCCTAAAGGGGATGGAAAGGTTAGTGAGTTATTAATTATGTAAAAGATGATCATAAGTTTTTTTTTCATCATTTTTATAAATTATAGAAATGTGAGTCTGGAGTTGCTGAACGTTATAGTTTCAAATTAATGTTATAGTTCAAAGTACTTCATATTAACTGTGGTTGCCAGACTGACTTCTGGATTATATTTCTTTTAGTGGTGCAAATTTGATGATGATGTTGTCTCACGGTGCACTAAACAGGAAGCTATTGACCACAATTTTGGTGGTCATGAAGATGATATTACAGTCAAGCATTGTACAAATGCTTACATGTTGGTGTACATCAGGGATAGCATAATTCGTAAGTAGGATTGTATGGAATATTGCAGTATGTAAGGTGAAAAATGTTGGCATGTATTAATGTTAAGTTGTGGAAAATTTCCTTTCTTCATTGGTTTTATGTCAAACTAGGAGGTTTTGAGGGTGTAATTCAGTATTCATTGAATTATAAGCTGGGTCCAGAACATTAACCATAGAATCGCTGAAGGTGTCCACATGCCTGTGAGTCCAACACTTACTGGTTACATCACAAGAAGACATCAGTATTAAAATGGACCTTACTAATTACTGCAAGGGACTCTTGCATATTTTATTGTAGAAAATGATTGATTTCACCCAGTTTTTATGGGAAGTTCTTTAATCTGAGTTATAACAGGGAAAAACATAAAATTTCTCAATACAATGCAATATGTGGCCTCACCACTAGTGAATGGTATAAAAAATAATTGTTCATTTAAAGGTTAACGTGATCTTTATATTCATTAATTTGCTTTATATTTAGTCTTTTTGGGCTTGTTAGAAATAATGATCATAACTTGATGGAACTGTGTGAAATGAGTTTACTTCATATCTGCCAGACATTAGACAACTGTTGAAGTCTCTGATGAAACAATGTATTCTAATTATTATAGGTAGAAATGTATGAAAAGTATATATAATTAGCTATATTGATTTTTAGTTTCACTCTTAAGTACATAGCTTACTTGGATCGGAAATAAATATTAACAGTGAAACTTGGTTATTTGGAGGCTACATGAATATCATTGTTTGATTATTTGTCAGAATGTGAGTTGTGATATAAGTATAATATTGGTATTACAATGAAACATGATCTCTTGGAAGCTACATGAATATCATTGATTATTTGTCAGAATGTGAGTTGTGATATAAGTATAATATTGGTATTACAATGAAACATGATCTCTTGGAAGCTACATGAATATCATTGTTTGATTATCTGTCAGATTGTGATATAAGTATAAAGTTAGTAAAGTTTTTCACTGAAAAACAAGCTACAAGAAGTATTTATTGTATTTTAATTGATTTTTTTTTTTTAGAATGTTGAAAAGATCTATAAATTGAACTGATACAGGTTAATCTCTAACATACTTGGTTTTACATAGAATAACACCAACATTCACAATAACTTTATTATAGAAGGTTAAAAAAGAAACATGCTTTACGCTATCATCAGGAGACAAAGGACACATGAGTTTCATTTAGGTACTCAAGTAAATGTACACATACAAATTAGCATATTGTACAGAGGTGTTATTTACACAATCAAATTCACTTATGGGGCACTTGGACCTAAATCTCTACTCAAGCTCATTAGGTTGTTTTTAACAATATCTAAAGATTCTCTTATATTTAATTTGTTTTTTAACTTAACCTGTTTAAGTAATTTTGCATTATCCCAGTTAATGACATGTGAAGAGTTCACCATATGTTCTGCCAAGGCTGAATTATTTGTTTTTAATTTATCAACTGCATTTTTATATTCACTTATTCTAAATTTAAAATTTCTTTTCATATGCCCACTAGAATTTAAACCACAACTACTTGAAATTTTATATATTCCACATTTATCTTTTAGTTCAGTTTTGTCTTTCAATCCATTAATTCATCAACTACATTATGTTCTAATAACACAGCATATCAGTTTGTCAAATACAGTGTATCACAATAAGTTCTAATAACATATGATTGCCATCGTTCAACTTCAGTATATCATAGCATGTATACAGTACACCAACTACATTATATCACAGCATGTTCTAACAATCTATCAACTACACTAGGTCACAACATACAGTATATTGGTGGGGATAAACTACAGTAACACCGACATCTAGTGTATACTGTAATTTAACTCTTGTTCTATAGAAGTGGGATAAACTACAGTAAAACTGACGTGTCAGTACCACTTAAGATATACAGATACTGAATTATACC